AGACCCGGGACTTTTCACCATTGGTCTCCACAGTGGCGAGATCAGGACCCAGCGGGACATTTCGGAGTCTGACAGCATGAAACAGAACCTGATTGTGGCCGTGAAAGATAACGGACAGCCCCCTCTCTCTGCCACCTGCTCCATGTATTTACTTATTTCGGATAACTTGGCCGAGGTGCCGGAACTGAAGGACATTTCTTATGACAACAAGAATTCCAAGCTGACCTCTTACCTGATCATCGCGCTGGTGTCCGCGTCCACCTTCTTCCTGACCTTCATCATCATCGTCCTGGGTGTGAGGTTTTGTCGCAGGAGAAAACCTAGACTGTTGTTTGATGGAGCAGTTGCCATTCCCAGCGCATATCTGCCTCCTAATTACGCAGATGTCGATGGCACAGGAACTTTACGCAGCACCTACAACTATGACGCCTACTTGACAACAGGTTCCAGAACCAGTGACTTTAAGTTTGTGTCTTCTTACAATGACAACACGCTGCCTGCTGACCAGACTCTGAGGAAAAGCCCAACAGACTTCGTGGATGAGCTTCATGATTCATTCGACCCACTTGAGGTTAGATTATTCCAATATTCTGTAAAAAAAAAAAAAAGTTATTTTCATCCCTATTTTGATGAATGTTTTCATCAACTTGTACTTGAACTGTGGCAAATTCAGTACCCTGTTTCTTTTGATTTTTAAGTCAACCATTGGATTGGTTGCTGTTTTTTGCGCATATTTGCATAACACATAACATTTTAATCACATATTTGCAGCATTTGTCCCTTATATATGATGTTGTTGAGTAGTTTGGTCTTCTCCTTTGTCGTCTTCCATTTGATTTTTCTCTTTATAACGAATGCAACAGTGTAAATTTGTGATTACAATCTAGAAATCATAACTGGTCAATGTTTAACAGAAGAAACCGTATTCTTAAACGTGTTATTTGAGGAATAATATTCACTTAGACACGGATTAACAATTGCATAGCATGCATCGCTCATATTATTTTAGCAGGAAGAAAACTAAGTTGTCAGAAAAAACAAAATCAGCCTGTCACTTTGACACTTGTAGCTCCAAGGTTCTCAAAGTTTTTACACCAAGTTCCACCTAAAAAAAACATCTAGCTCTCCAAGCAGGACCTTGATGAACATTAAAGTACAGTACAGTCGTGTCGCATGCCTGAATGTTCATTTGAGAAGATGAGGTTTTGTTTAAAAAAAAATAATACTGACTATATAAGCCACAATGACATCAACATTTTGAACATTACCACTGCACTAAAACATAGGAAAAGAGCAAACTGTATTTCCAGTAAATGACTCAATCAAAATTATACTGCACATAAAATTTCAAAAGGAATTGTTTTGAGCAAATGCACTTTTCTGCATGAGTTCATTCAGAAGGATGTGTGTGATTCTTCATCCTGCCACAACCAATGTTTCCAAGGATCTTGGTTTAGCTGACCATTTGCAATGATATGGCTTCATGGATTGATACTCAGATTTTCCCCACAAAAGAATGACTGAAAGAAAAGGTTCCTCACTGTTAAATAACAAATTAGGAAAACGGGTTCTGGCAAACAAACAAAAAAAAAAGTCTGAAGCCTACAGTATTCAGTTCAAATTGTTATTGAGTTTGTTGTACAATGTTTGATATTCAAATGTAAAAAAACTGTCAACTTTAAAGTGCGCTTATTAACACATTGAACTATGAATACAATCTTCATTTCAGGAGTAACTGTTCCTAAAGCAGGCGTTACACAAAAGTATCACACGCAGTTAATCACAGTTGAACTGATATAAAGTGCAAACAAAACCGAGCAAGAAACATTTCATTTGCATGAAGCCACGTTTGACGAAAGAGATTAAAATTCTGACGTGCTCCGATACTCCTCTTACATTGTCGGCCTCCTGCTATGATTTCGAGATGCACTAAAAATTAACCTCTCCATCTTCATCAACTCAACCGGAAAGAAATTCTTTCACAGCACTTTAGACATGATTCCTGTCTTTCATTTGGCATTTGTAAATGTTTTCTTCCTCATTAAGAACTTTTTAACCTCATAATAGCAATAGCAACTACATCACTTTGTCTCATAGCAGAACTCATCTCGTTGAAAAGAAAAAACATTTCTCAAGGGTGCATTATGTCCAAATTCTGTGCACTGTTCACGTTTGGACTATGAACGCTCAACACTGACAGTAACTCACCCCACAAAAAGTTTCTGCTTTTACCGACCACTGCACGCCTCACTCACGCTGTTGGCTCGAATGAAAGAGGAAGTAGTTGGGCGGGATCTCATCCAAAACTCACCTCTCAATCAATATGCTGAACGTGACCGACACTGCTTTTTTTTGGCTGAGTGAATGACACCTTCACGTACATCCAGGGGAATTGTAATTCATAAATGGCACTTGGTTTGGGACGCAGATATTGTAGTATCATTTGGCTATTATGAGTATACAGATGTTAGATGACAGACATACGTTGTTTTACATTGCTACACTGCTCCTACCGATTATTATGAGGCTTTCATCAACAAGATGTTGTCCTAGCATACGAAAAGACAAAAAAAAAAAAATCCTCATGTTTGAACCGTTAGGACAGCCCTTTTGACATGGATGTTGTTGTGTTTTTCCTAGAACAATTTATGTCCTTTGCTTCTTCCGTTCCTTATAGAGTGCTGATGAGTTTCATTCAATGTTGTGTTCAAGGAGTTGCGATATTTGAGGCCACTTTCAGTTTGCTTGCCTGAGAGGATCACAGTAATTCGTACTTCTGTGATAACGTCACTGAAATGTCAGCTCTGGTACGCTTGGCCTTTCATTGAGAACTTTCGTTTTGTTTTTTATGTTGTCATTCTCAAAATAGGATTTGGATTTCGTTGTGCCTCAAGGTGCGGATATGGTGACATCATCAAAGCACAATTTGACCATGTCCTCTGCTCTTTTTGTGCACCATATGAACCATGTGGTTTAGGCCAGTCTGTGCCAGTCCCAGTGACAATTTGGGCCAAAGTGCCACAGTTAAACTCACTGTGATTCTTCCACGTCAGTCAAAAATTGACACACTGCCATAAGGAAATGTACATCCCTGAGAAAATGGTGCAAAGTTAATTTTGGTGAATAGTCTGCCTGTCTCAATTAGAAAACATTGTTTATGAATCCCTTCATGCAGTATGTGGAACAAATTTACAGAGGGGAAAATAGCTGATCTGCTTCCCTCGAACAACGTTTTTACATTAGAAAAATATAAATACATTTTCAACGGGAAGCGATTTTTATTGGCTCCTTTCAAAGCGTTCATTGCATTTGTACACAAGGGGTCAGTATATACTCAGGTTTTCGAGCCTTGGACTGATTTGCTCATCATCCGTTGCTGAAATTGACAACATCGACGCGCTTTGTCGACATAACCTCGGAGCAGAAACACAAAACCGCTTGTGTGGGGTATCTAAACTTTTCATCGATAAAACTACAGTGCTGTCGTGTCTGCATTGCTGTGAAAGAATGACGCATTTACGGCACATCGTCCGATTCCGGAGCTTTGCCTTTTTCTTTGTTCTGGTCGAATATGCACACGGAGACCTCAGCTATTCTGTTCAAGAGGAGCTGAAACGCGGAGCTGTGATTGGAAACATTGCCAAGGATCTCGGATTGGAGGTGGGCAAACTGTCTACTCGCAAAGCTCGTGTTGATATGGAAAAGAACAACAAACAGTATTGCGGCATAAACCTCCGGACGGGAGATTTAATGGTTGCTGACAGAATTGACCGCGAGGAGCATTGCGGGGAAAAGCCTTCGTGTGTTCTGAAATTCGACCTGCTGCTGGAAAATCCTTTGGAATTGCACCGGCTGTCTTTGCAAGTTCAGGATGTGAATGATAATGCTCCCGTTTTCCCCAAGGATATTATAAAGCTGGAAATAAGTGAGTCCGCTGATAAAGGAGCCAAATATCGCATTAATGCAGCACAAGATCCAGATGTAGGTACAAATTCTGTTCAAAGTTACATTTTGCAAGAAAATGGCAATTTTGTGTTTCACATTCAGACGACAAATGATGGCAGTAAATACGGCGAGCTAATTTTAGATAAGGAATTGGACAGAGAAGAGCAGCAGGAAATGAAATTATTGCTAACGGCACTGGATGGTGGATCTCCTCAGAGATCTGGGACTGTAGTCATTCATGTCATCGTACTTGATGCGAATGACAACGCCCCAGTTTTTACCCAGACTGTTTATACAAC